ATTTTCTTTCCAGGGGTTATCTGCATGCCAGTGCCACTATGTTGGAAAATCTCTGCCATAATTTGATTGATTTTCCACTAATCAGATTGATAGTTTTTTATATATCTTGTGATAATAGCTGTAATAAGATGATAACAACAAAACCGGGATGAAGTGGAGATGCAAAAATTCTGGAAAAGGCACAAATGTCTTGTTATAAAAAACATTTAAGTACAATTCAAAATACCATGAAGCAAGTGGGTAATAACAGAGTTTATTTATGCCACCAACATTCTAATTTTTTACCCAGAATGAATGAGTTCAGCACTTTTCATTTGTACTTGCTTTAAAAAACATGCATGTAGCCCCCTGGCCACTGCATATAGTATGTAAGATATATTTCTTCCTGTGTCTGATGCATGAGGAAGTAAGGAATATTTATATAAGAGGCTGTTGCTTTTCCAAGCTTGTGTTCTTGGCTTTGGCTCAATTTCAGTAAGATATCTGCTATCAGACACGAATGTAATACCATACTGAACCCTAGCAAAGCTGTAAAGGCTTTCCTTAAATCACAAGTTTTCCTGGGAAGAAAGAGCTTGAATTACACTTGGCACATAATTTCATGTTTCATACAGGAACATACTATGGTAGATTTCACACTTTTTCCTGAAAGCATTGCTTTCCTATTCTGAGTGTTACAGATGAATTTGCAGAAAACAGGGACCAGCATTTAGGGAAATTGGTTGGGTCTAAAATTCAACTTTGATCATAAAAAAGACAACAAGAGAGATTTCTAGTTTATCTCATGACCTGTCTCTAACCTGAGCTGAGAAGAGGCTGCTGAGAAATGCGTGGGGAGAAACAGCTTGGAAAGGTTCAGAGGGAAAAATGGAGAGTAAAATGGAGAGATGTATCAGCATTTCTTACCCTATAATCTGAAATGTGAAATCAAATACATGGGAACAATCGCTGATTTACTGGAGTTATATTTTATTTGTTCCCTTTGGAATTTCTCCCCTATCTAAATAAAAGAAAAAAGGTAAAAAATCAAATAACCTCTGTCTGCAGGCCTCTTCCTAGTTTATCTGATAATAAAGGAGGCTAATTGCTCTTGAATCTACCCATCTTCATATATTTATCCCATGAATACATAGTATCCTATGAATACATCAAAATACATTTTTATCCTATGAATACAAACTCTGTCTACATTTTTGACATTTCTTACTGAGTTCCCTAATTTCTCAAAATCCAATTAAGCTCTCTGTAGTACAAGTGTTAACCCTGCTAGTACATTCCTGACAGTTGTATTTAGATAATCTTTGAAAATGTCCAGGCGAGACTGAAAATACTGACCTTTCCTAGAATTATATATGCTGGGATGAACAACTTTTTAATAAATAAATAAAAGAGCTTTCTTCCTCAGGCAGGTTTTTTGTGGGTTTTTTTTTTCCCCACCACTTTCCTTTTTTTGAAACAGAAATTTCTGTACACCTTGATGTATGAGAAATGTAGCATTTCTCTGATACCTGCTGTCCAAAAGACACAGACTTTTCTTTCAAGTTTTAAAGCTGAAGGACTTCTGGAGTATTCATAGCAATCAAATCATCACAACAGTGTCTAAAAAGGTCAAATAAAATGTCTAGATGTGCTGGCCAATCACCTAAATCATCCACCAGAGAGTTCTCAACAACAAAATATTGCGTTACAGGATAGCCATGGCCAATTACTCAGAGTTTTTATGAAAAATTAGGCTTTTAATCTGTTTAGTCAGTTGTGTTAAATTATAAGAAAATGAAAAAACAACTGAATTTGAAATTAATAACAAAAAAAAATGTACATTTTTAGTGCTGGACATCTCTTAGAACTTATAAAATACTTGTTATCCTAAGTAGAATCAAGATATAACAAAAATTGTGGTGGCATGCTACCTGTATTTTAAAACAGGTTTAGGTATGTATGTAACAGGCATCTGTCATGTCTGTAAAGAAGGAGGGCAGACAGAAGAAACAAAACCAAGCAAATTTGAAATGTACATTAAGATATTGCCACAAAATTGTGGATGGATTTTAGTACAGTTGCAGAAGATTTTCTCATATAATTAAGAGGTCAAAGCAGTATGACCAGAATGAAAAATTTAAATTTATAACAATTTATTAATTTAAAATATTTGGTTTCAAAATTTCTAGACAGAACTCTAGACAGAGGTGAGATGCAGAATTTCCATGGAATCCTTTTGTTCTACCTAACCAGATATTGACTGCTATCACCCAAAGACACATCAAACTATAGGTAATCATTGATCCAATATAGCTTTGGTTTTCCATTATAAAGGGTTTCCTTTCATTAGAGTTTTAAAGGATTTAGTGTGAGAAAGTAAAGACCCTTTATTCATGACCTGGAATGATCTACTCTTTATGAAAGGTTGACAAACCACAGAGAATCAAAGAATGTGCCTGCGGCTCTAGAGGTTTTATCTGAGTCTAATCTAGGGGACACTGGAAAATTCAATGTATAATTGAACCTTCATCAAAATGTACTTCTCGGATTAAAAGATAGATTTACTGTGTGAATGAGAAATCCTGGAGTGTTGCTTTACTTTTGTGTTCTTTGAAGTAATTTTTTTTTTTTTTTAATTTCAAGAATAAAAGGAACAGCTCAAGGAAAATGAATAATTACATCAGGTGTTGGTTTGTCCTCCTAAAATGCAGCAGCTTTCTCTGTGGAAATGAACTTTCTATATATAACCGATGCCTCAAACCCTACACCTTACCTACCAAGTAGGCTACAGCCATCTATAATTTGTTCTAGGATTCAACACTTTTACAGAGTTTTTGTTTTCAGATCTTGGACACAGAATAGACAAGTGAAAAAATAGTTCTGCTGCAATTCCCAAACTGAAAGAAACATGAATGTGTTTTCTAAACCCCACTTTCGGAATAATTTTTTTATATAACAGCACACAGTTTTGAGCTGTGTATGAGATGCTCATGATGGAGAGCTGGCTGCTCCTGGGTCAGCCACCTGCCATGGAGCATTGGCTCACAGGGCAGACTGTGGGCACTTTTCAGCCAGAAATAATTTTCAGCCAGAAATACACCTCCAGTACAGAGCAGACGTGGAATAGGAGAATGAAGTCCTGACTATTGACCTCTAAGAGCACTGAAACACTTTTCACAATAAAATAAGAAGCAATTTGATTTCAAGAGAGAAAGAAAGTTTCAGGGACATTTCCATAGACAAAATGCTTAAAAGTACTGCATTGAATTTACAGATCACTTTATTCCAAGGGATCACTTATGTGTCAAAGCAATGTCAAAAAACATCACTGCCAACAAGTGGACAATTCAATGCCCAATACAGCATGTGACCAGCCATGCTGTGGCTAGTGACAGCAAAATGACAGAGAGGAGACTGGCAAGGAAGAGGATGACAACTGCCCCCTGTGGAGTGAATAGATTTCTAGTTTGAGAGAAGGAGAAAATAATGGCTGAATATGACTGAAAACAAATCACAGGAAAACAGACCAACAAGCTAAGTGGCATCTGCACTATGTGTTTTTTCAAAGCTTGAATAATTCTCTGAGAGGGTCCTGAGAAACTCCTAAATCTCAGTTGTTCTGAACTGCTCTATGTGGGACCTCTGCCCATGATACTGGGGCGCCCATGTAACTCAAGTCCAAACCTAATCTATGTTGTAGATGAGCCTACATTCAATCCCATCTCTGATCTTGTATCCTAGACCAATACTGAAGGTAGCTTGTCTCCAGTCCTCTCCATGGACTGTGCCTCCTTGGATGGCCTTGGAGCTGTTTATCCTTTTGCTGTTGCATAATTCCTATGTAGACCTGGTTCATCATCTCACCTTCTCTAGGATCACTGTTGGGAGATGCTTCCTTTGGTCCTTTACTGAGCTGTCTGTTGGCAGCTCTGCCACTCTGCTGTGTTGCTGCTCCCTTCTTTGCCAACCTGCCTTCCAGCCTGGCTCTGCCCCATTGCTGCAGACTCAGCTGGTGGTCACTAGACCAGGGTTGACCCCAGTTGCTTCCTCTGAGCTGCTGGACTCGCCCTGTGCCATGCCTGTGCCTGCTGTCACACTCGGCCACCTGTTCCCTTGACCCACGAGAGAAACTTCATGCTCCCTGCTTGGAAAGGCAATCAGAGCCAACAATATTCTCCTTAACATTAGTGGAAATATGACTTATTTAAATTTGCTCAGCAAATCATCCTCCACTTTGACAGACCATTCTGAAGCCTTTAGAAATGAACCCAAACCTTCCTTTTCACCTCAGCAAGCTCTGCTTTGGCAATGAACACTGGCACAGGCGACATCTAACAACTCACTCCTTTTCTAGTAGGGGAATTCTCATCAAGAAAATACCTCAGGTCTCAGTCCCTGAACTCACAAAGAAGATGACAAAAGCAGTCCCCTGCAGAGCCTCATTTAACTGGGGACAAGTCCCCTGCAGAGCCTCATTTATTAATATGACAAGGTGATCTCATTAACTTGCACAGGGAATGTGCGTGGAGAAATGCAGGAGCTCTGCTAGTACTGACACAGATATAAAACGAGTATGCCTATTAACAAAATGTCATGTAATAATTCACTACTATGAATGACTTTATAGCACAATATTATTATTTAGAACTAGCCTCATACACTCTCTTAATACAGTTAAATAAAACTGCATTATTATAGTTATTGACTATAGTTATTGAGTATTAATACTGCATTACTAGTCAATAACTGTATTAATACAATTAAAATTTATGTAATATGTCCATAATAATATAACCTGCTCTTTTAATATAGAATTCTAAAGAGAGTTGTAAATATTTATTTTCCTAAGCAGCTCCTAAGCTTATTTGCCCTACTTATCTTCCACACAGATGTGGGGTCCTGGAGTCCCTTAAGAGCCTGGTAAAATCTATTTCTACAACTGAATTTTGATGAATGAAGTTCAGTGGGATATAATTTGACAAAATACTGACACTATTTACAGACAAAAAAGCATCTCTTACCTCCATTATCTTTTAGGTGCAGTGCTATCTTGGTGTCATCTATAAAGGAAATTTAAAATTAGTTGAAGGAAAATGTATTTTTCTAGGTCATGAAACATTTTAGCAATCAGATTCTAATGATAAAAACATTTTACAACAAGAAACTTGTCTATTTTATTTATTTATTTATTTATTTATTATTATTATCAACTCAATGAGAACTAGATTGTGGTGTTTCTTACTCTGAGCACTATGCTTTCTTACCACTAAAAAAAAAACATTATTGAGAGTATTAAAGCATTCAAGAGGATTCAAAACACTGGCAAATACAGGTATGAGAGTCTGTCTCACAATGTTTATAAATAATTCATATATATTACATGTTCACACATAGCTCGAGCATTCTATCATATTAAGGACTATATGAACCAACATATATCAGTAAAATAAGACAATGACTTAGTTCCACCTTGAGGAATCTTGAAAAGGTCTACTAATACTAAACCCAATTTACCTCCATATTCCCTTTTTTCTTGTGAACTTTAATTAAGAGAATGCCAGAGAAGGTTCTTTTTAATGCAGTCCAAATGCTGCACTGACAGTTTCTAAACTTTTGTTGTTTTAAAGAAAACCAGCCTTTCTTTTTGGTAGATTCTCACCTCGAAATGCCTTCAGTTCAGATCTTCCTGTCACAGGCTACTCAGAAAATCTGTACCTAGTACTTTTTCTTGTGTTAACATACAATTTCAACAAACACACATGCACATATCTTATAGATGTTTCTTGATTAATCTGAATTAGCTTTCTTGCTCAAATGAATTTCCTCCAAAAGCAGGAAAGCAGGATATCCCAAGCTCAAAAAGGTAAGATTTAAGCAGCCATTGGTACGAGGATGAGAACTGACCCACCATGACTTACCCAGTTAATTCAGTTCAGAAGCCTAGAGGAACTATTTCACAACAGTGAGCACTACATGAAAAGAACAGTGTCAACTGACTGAAAAAGAGTGAACAGGCATATTTCAAAGAGGTTTTTATTTTGGATTATCTATAATTTTCACCTGGTTAGATGGAATCCATAAAAGAATTACAAATTCATTAAGTTTGTGATGGGAATTTCTTCTAGATTTAGCAGGGACCTTTAGTACTACTATTTCAGTAGGTTTTGGACTCCTGCCTGAATGTAAAGGAACATGAAAAAGTCATTTTAAGCTCAACTTTTCTAGAAGTCTTCCTAACTTGTCCTTGCTTCTCCAGCAGCATCCTGCCCTCGAGCCTTCATCGCCTTTGCACCTTAATGGCACAAGAGTGAGCAATTTAAAAGCAACAGTCTTGGCTGCAATTCCCAACTCCTTCTGCTGCCCCAGAGGGAAAAAAGTTGTCATCAATACATACTTAAAGGAAATACATTTCTTTCTGAGTTGTAAAAGGAAATACATTTCTTTCTGAGTCGCAAATTACTTTTTTCCAAGTGTAAAAATGCAGTGTATACACGTCACCTTCTGTGGGCAGGCTGGTTGGAAGGTGGGAAGTGGTGGATCCTCTGGTGGTTGTTAAAACTCTGAACCTTGTGGTGGTTGGCAGAAGGGTGGTGGTGGAGTACAGAGGTGTTTCAGTTGTGTCTATATTCTTCTCACAAATCTTATCCTTTGACTGTTGGGAAACAACAGCAACAAGGAAGAGAAAATTAATTCTCTGTGGAAACTGTCAAGAATGAAGAATTTAATCATGGACAAGTTGCTGTGATAAAAACAATGAAAATAGACACTCTAGATCAAGAAATTTCAAGAGCTTTTTCTTTTAATTTTCTTTTTTTTTTTCCTTTTCCATTTTCAACTCTCTATGCAGCAATCAGCAATATAATTTTTCATTTATCTGCAAAATTTACAACTCTTAATTGTTAATGACAAGGTTTCAAAGTCACCCCAGATGGTCAAACTTGTTATTTCCTGCAATCAGAGTTTAACACCTAAGTTTATAATTCAGATTTTCACTCTTCTATTATGAAAACTCACTGCCATTAATCCGGGTGACATAAAACATTTTAAAAAAAGATTTGTGGGAATTAAATAGTAGCTCGTTGTAGTGAACAATACATAGTTAAGTGGAGCATTTAATTAGGCTTTACATGTAATTATCACAAAAGAACACATATATATGTGAAAAAACTGTGCATGTATTCAGTTTATAGAACATTTATTTACTACAATAAATCAATAAATTACTGTATGCCTATTAATTCTACATTATATTAAAAGGTAATGTATTATTTGTATATATAAAACATAAATGTATATTTATATATAAATATAAGAAATAATTATTATAAAATATAAACGACAACAAAATTATTATACTATATTAGCACACTATAAATAAAAAGTTGCCATCATATAATAATTTAATATCTATTTGCATGGGCAAATATTTTGATACAAATCAAGAATCTGCTTGCTCTTTTTTTTCTCTCAAGTTCTGGACTTTTTTAAAATTCTGAAGAAGCAATGAATAATTTCTTTTATGATTCACACAGTTTTCCAGGAAAATACATCGAATTATCTTGCAGCAAATATGGGAACTGTATCTAACTCCTGCTGTCTCCATTAATTTTAATGAGAAGTGAGTCCTGCAAACATTTATTTCATTTTATTGAGATCTGTCTGTCAAAACCCAGTGGGCATTGTCTTACTTTTAATATGCACAGATATTTTATTGTTCTTTCTTTTACCAGAATCAATTTATTACATTCCCGAAATGTATCAGTACCTGCAGGATAATTATTTAAATTCCTTTGTATTTTTCTTGAAAAATATTGTTAATTTCACTGCCAAAATTTAGTCAAAATTTAGCTCAAAATCTATATTAAAAATAAATATATTTTATTTTTTATTTTATAAAAAAAACCTTACTATGAGAATCCTCATTATTTATCCTCTTCAGTCAAGCATCTAAAACTAACCATTCTGGGCTAATTATTGATCCTTCCCTAAACTCTAGCAGTCAGCTCAGGCATAATTCTGGAAGATGCCAAACAAGCTGTTGCTTCTACTCCAGAGAGCTTATAATTTGGACAGTAGACTGCCACCAAGTAGCCTGAAACTGTGCAAATGAAAGTATTAATTTCTCAGATACACTTCTTGTATCGATAATTTCCTCTCAGATCATGTACTAAACCTTGGAGCACATGCTGGACTGAAACAAGAAAGGAGAAGCAGAAGGGAATGTTAATGTCCTGCAGACAGAAGTTTTTTGATATCTTAATTTGCAAACACAATTGAGTCCTAGCTAATTATAATCTGGATTAAAGCAATACAAGAGTTTTGCACTATAATGACACAGGTTCCCAATAACTTCTATCTTATGTTCTTTAAAAGGTTGCCCTCCACAGACAACAAATATCTCAGAAATTTTGCTTTCAAATCAGCTGGTGACAAACTGCAAAGCTGAAGCTTCAAGGCCATGTAATAAGGCAGTATGTAGGTTGCAGTTATTTTGCAATTACAGTAACAAGAAGAAAAATTTCTTTCATTAATGTGGATTTATAGAATTACTTCTCTTTGCTTCTACTGAAAATAAAACAGAATGTGCTTTTCTAACTAGACACCTGGGGCTATGTTTTGCCCTGGGTTTCACCTGATATTTCAGAAGGCCTATGTTGCTGAAACTCGTGGGGATAGTTAGCCCGTTCAGCAAAAATGGAAAAAAACCTGCTTTTTTAATGGCCACCAGAATATTAAAAGTGCCATAAATTATTTTTTCCTATTACCACAATCTCAACATGGAAAAAAAAAAGGAAAATGAAAAAAAACCCCAAATCTTAAACCAAAAATTCTTGTAGAGGGGCTTTTAAACTGGAAAGTAATTATCATCATCATCATCATTATAAATTATAAATATTAGTTGAAAATGAACTTTGTTGGTCTAGAAGTACCCCAGATAACTTTCAGAGGAGGCTTATGGTCCCTGTTTGACAGCCCATCACAGGGGCTACATTTGACTTTCACAGATATAGATCTTTCTTATCCTCTCACTGCATCTAAATGAAAAGAAATCAAAATGCCATGTAGGTTGGTTGTATGAGGGCTTTTAAAGTTTTATTTCAATTATTATTTTTATTTTATCTCTTTGAATTCAGCTGTGTAATTTCTTCTTTACTAAGTGATGTTGCCAGACTTCATTATCAAAATGCAATGCCTGTTTTTCACTTGATGCTATTCTGACAAAGGGTTTTCTGATATAAGGAACATCAGAGTTTCTTCCCCTTTTCTGGCAAAAAAGAGATCTAAAAGAAAATCAGCACAGGGACACTGTTTTGGAGAAGGTTTTCTGGGTTTTTTGGGTTTTGGGAAACTTATTTCCGGGCTAAACAGACAAATGGGGATACAATTCAACATGACAAAGTCACCCCAGGACACTTAATTACAGTAGTTTCCCAAAGATCACATTTAAATTTTTGTCCATTTTATTCCCTCAAATGCAGAGTGAAACTGCTCAGATTGTTCTTCTTTGTTATGCCTTATAGGATTTCCCCTGAATGATAAATATAGTATGTCTTTGGCCTTGAAACCATGGTTTATAATCTGAATAATTTAAACAAAAACATCATAACTATATAAATAGCCTCTGAGGATGTAAATTACTCACATACCTCTTCAGGGCAGCCACTGTCTACCCAGTCTTGCCGGTGACGATCAAATCCACTGGAGCATCTTTAAATGATGAAATAGATAGAAGTTGTCCAGATGGAAATAGGAGGAAAAAACAATAAAGGAAGGGAGAGGAACAGAACAGAGCGACAGAAAGAATAAGTAAATGATGTGATTTAAAATCCATATGTTTTATATGATATCACTTTTATTCAAGATGCTTTGCTCATAATATTAGTCACTCCTTTAATCCACTTCAGTGAAAGGTGTTTCAATGAATGAGACTTTTAGTTTTTAAAATTTATGTATAATTTTAAAATAGGAATATCTCCCTTCCACTGGATAATTATTTTTAAGATGTAACTGACCCATAGCATTTTTAAGTTTGATGTCAACCATATCGATGTAAATTAGTTTAATTATTATTATCCAGACTTCTTAGCCATGAAAATTTAATCCCACAAAGGATGCAGTGAACCAGTCACTGGGTTTATCAGGCAAAGTGATCTGGGACATCAAGGTACGCATATAGCCATTTGATCAATGTTCACAGCTCCTCTGAACACTCTCTGTGGCAAATAGAGAACACTGTACAGCTGCTTCTACCTCCTCTCTAGATACAGAAAACTTAAATTGCATGCATATTTCTTATCAAATCAGGTGAGTTTAATAACCTGTTTGCAATATCCTTTGTCTTTTGTTATATGTAACAAGGAAATTTTTAAGAAACTTGTAACACTTTAATATAAAGATTCCCCTGGTAATCCCCATCTCTCAAGAGTGTTTTCAGTGATTGTAGAGTAAGTTTGTGTTTCCTAGACAACAGGTAGCATCACAAACAGAAAGCACTATCAAAACGGCATGCAAATAACTAAAGCACAATGTCCAGCTTTGAAGGAGATTCTTCCCAGCTAGGATGTTTTTTATTTTGGAGGGCTTCTTTTTGGTTTCTGCATTCATTTAATGCGGTACTTTGTTATGAGACAGGGTGATGTCATTTGGCACCCATGGTCATAACTTACCTGAATATATGAAAAACAACTTTTTGTTCTCTTTTAATAAGACTAGGCAAGAAAATAAGGTCACTGTTAGGGTTAGCTGCATATAAGGGTCTCCTTTTGTTTACAAAGAATTGAAAGATAACAAGACATATCAAGTATTACCTACTTCAACCAAAGTAGCAGGTTCATTTGGAAGAATGGAGCACTGTAATTATTTTTATAGTAGGAGAGGATAGAAGAAGATTTAAACAATTTTAACAGCACACTTAGGGTAAGAAACATCTCCATAAAATTATCCCGAGCAGAATCTACAATGTCTTTGAGAAAAGATTTTGAGAAAAATGTTCATTCTCTTGTTATACCTGCATTGATCCACATTTCACCATTTGCAATATTACTAAAAGAAATACCCCAACACTAAAAGGTGTCAATTTTCACACACTCTATAGCAACTGGCTTCTCCAAAATCCCATTGCCATTAAGAGTAAAATGTTCAGACCAGAAATGTATTTCAGAGAAATACAAACATCTCCTTCCCAATGCATGAGGCCTCTAAGATAGGAAGGACATTGACCTGGAGAGCCACTGGGCTGGGGCACCTCTCTCATGAAGACAGGCTGAGAGAATTGGGGTTGCTCAGCCTGGAGAAGAGAAGGCTCCAGGAAAACCCTATACAGACTTTCCATATTTAACCGACAAGGAAGATGGAGAGAGACTTTTTATGAAAGCCTGTAGTGACAGAACATGGGAAATGGCTTCAAATTGAAAGACAATAGATTACTATTGGATACAAGGAAGAAGTTTTTCACAGTGATGCTGGTGAGTCACTAGAATAGACTGTCAAGAGAAATTGTGAATTGTTCATTGGAGATGTTAAAGTTCTGGTTGGATGGGGCTTTGTGCAACCTTGCATCTAGTGCAAGATGTTCCTGCCATGTCAGTGGGGCTGTACAAAGTAATCCTTAAAGGTCCCTCCCAACCCAAATCATTCTATGAATAAAGACCACTGGAAAAGTGTTTTCTTGCTGAAGTGTGAGTTAATCAGTGCTGTGCTACAGTGGGAGCTCAGTGCTGCTTCTCTATCTCTGTGGTGTTCTGTCCCTGTGAATGTCTGAAAGAACAAGGAAAACTTAACAGAGCAGAAAGAAATGATCACGTGGTATTCCAGGAATTAAGAGAATTTTTTTTGAGTCTCCCCTACTTTTCTCTAAAATTTGAAGAGCTTCATTATCAACTTCTGTCCCCATCTCTAAGAAGGACTGGACTGATTTTTCAGATGTACTGAATATTCATAAATCCATTACATTTTATTCATACTGTTCTGGCTCAAATCCAATGGTTATTCAGTACATCAGAAAACCAAGCTAAATATTTAGACATGAAATCCAGCCACACCATAAATTCCTCCACTTGAGGCAGTTACTGTAGTTACATATCTATGCTAATTCAACCCGATGTACTTGGAGGGATTAACAAACCTTGATTTTATCTTATATTTAAATGGTGTCAAATTTAAGGCTCCAAAGATTAAATGAATAAAAATGTATCCCAGGTGCATTAATTTACACTTCTTAAATCTTTTCCTACAAACTCGTGAATTACAGGGGTGAGTAACATTTCTGGGGTTAATTTTTTTCCACCAGAAATTAACCAACGACCAAAACTTGAATTAACCAACCATCAAAAATTTAATGCAACACACAAGGACTTGGAATGGCTCTTTCAAATGTGTGAGGCAGTCTTGAGAAGACTCTACCTTAAAAAAAGTACATTAAACCCTGGGCCATTGCTTATTTAACATTTTCCACTGATACATAGTGAGTCCAAACAATATTATCAGAAGGCAGCTTTATCAGCAATGAGACACCAGTCTCCTGGCAAATCAGTTTGTGAACTTCCTTTGAGGCACATGTGACTTGATGTCAGCCATAGAAGCTACTATTGTTGCTGCCTCGTTGAGTCAGAGTTCTGGAAACTGACATTTCAGTGCAGCACCCGCTTTGCTGGCTGCATTTTTTAGACCTTAATTTAGTAGCATGGTGATAATTCCCTGTTGCCATTAAAACACTGGAGCAGATTTGATTTGCTGTGCTGTTTATGCCATCTGTCAACACGGCTATTTTATAACAACTTCATTTTCAAGAGATGACCAAACTCAGCTCCGAGGAAAGCAATAATAAAGATGTTCTAGGAAATGAAAATAGGGACATTTATGAAATGCAAGGAATTTCAGGATTTGTGTGGAGTGCTCTGGAGTGCTGGTTCAGGGAGGAAAAGGAGAATGAATGTCTTTACACATATAGGAATGATGACCTGGCAATGTTAACAAGAAAGCTGTCAGAATCCCTCCAGTGAACTGTATGTAGCCAGAAAGGAGCTGGAGATGCCATCCTATTTACCAAACGCCATTTACCTATATTTGGCAGAGAATATTTGAATGACAGGAAGTGTCCACTCAATGCAAGACATGAAATGCTTTGCTCCTTTTCTTAACGAGAGTTCAATGAGGATTAATGAGCGTGATCATGATGATGATGATAATAATAATAATAAAAAAATCTGAAAATTCATCAAGGTTTAACCTGCAAAAGCTAGAAACATAATAGAAAATTATTGGGAAGAAAAGAGGCAAAGTCTGTATGGAAAAACCTTTTCACCAGATTGAGCTGCAGTATGACAATCAAGAGCATTGAAATGCACAACACATGTAATTTAAACCAATAATTTCCTAGTATTTTTTGCTCTGTAAGGGCATGTAAAGAGCAGATTTTTTGGAAAAGAAAGGCATTCCAGAAATTTGAAAGGATTTTATAAATACCATGTAATGATTTAGTTCAGTTAAAAGGTTTATTAACCCATCTAAATAAAAGGTTAATCTGGAAAATTAAATGGAAAATTAAATAGAAAATTGAAGAGGCAGAACTCTTTTCTAACTTCAACCATTAAGGAAGGACCATCACATTATGAAAATATTAAGACAGTTGCTAGGATGTTTGAATTACTGAAAGAAGAATTAAAACATTTTGAAGTGGAAGTTCTTTCCAAAGAGGAAGGAAAAAAATATAATAAAAAAACCAACCTGGAACTCTGTGTCTGTCCAGCTGAAAAATAATTCTAATCATGGAGTGATTTTTGGAGGAAAAAATGTTTATCTTTGTGCTTGGTATGGTTTTGCCTCCCTTAACCACAGAGCAGGCTCCAGTTTGGTTCCCTCACCTTTCAGATATCACCTTCTTGCCACACCGTGCTGTCTGGGGAAAGACTGAGTTTTCCTTCCTTCGTTATTTCCCCCTTTCAAATGCAGAACTTAATCACAGCTCAAAATGCTTATGAAGTTCATCTGAAGTGTCACTGGGAGTGACTTTGGTATGCATCTGTAAGGTATTTGAATAGCATTTGTGCTTATCACTTAGCTCAATACTCCTAGTCATATATCTGAATTCTTGCAGAAATGTGTTCTCTGTATTTATCCTTTACTTAAATATTGTTTAATTAAACTGTGCTTCAGAACAGGAGGATAATTTGATTAGTCAGAAGAGGATTTGCTCCCATCTTGCTCTTGTAAAGTAAAAATAGCTGACAAGCTGAAAACAAGGACTTTAAACTAAAATAAGCCTGTACTATTTAAATGTGTATGAAAAATTTGAATGTTACAAAGGCATAATTAATAGTTGATGCAACACTGAATTCCACCATTGTCTTAACATTGTGTACTGCTCAAAATTTAAAACATTCAGGTAATAATAAGGATGATCAGACTGGAACAAAGTTCAGCAGTCAATCTTTAGCCTGACAATCTTTCCACAATTTTATGGGGTGGAAAGTTTGGAAAACTATAGCTACATGTTCTAAAAGACTCCTGAAATATCAAGCAAACATAGAAGTAAAAGATGTTAGAAACCAAGCTGTTATTTTGCAGAAAATGACTGAACATGCATAAGCCTCAATATTTATAACTCTGACACAATATTTGAATAGGCAGTAGGAAATAAAGACTCCCATAGGGAGTTCTTTCTGTTGAAAGAGGCTAAGAATAAAAGTAGGATAAAAGAAACAAGTTTT